CAAAACAATAAAATACCTAGGAATAAATTTAACAAAAGAAGTGAAAAATGTCTACAATGAAAACTTTAAAACACTGATGAAAGAAATTGAAGAGGACACAAAAAAATGGAAAGATAACCCATGCTTATGGTTTAGAGGAATAAATATTGTTAAAATGTCCATAGCACCCAAAGCAATCTACAGATTCAATGCAATATCTATCAAAACACCAATGACATTCTTCACAAAAATAGAAAAACTATCCTAAAATTCATATGGAACTACAAATGACCCCAAATAGCCAAAGGAAACCTGAGCAGAAAGAACAAAGCTAGAGGCATCACACTATCTGACTTCAAAATATGCTACAAAGCTATGGTAACCCAAACAGCATGATAATGGCTATAAAAACAGACACATAGACCAATGGAACAGAATAGAGAACCCAGGAATAAATCCATGCATTTATAGCCAACTCATTTTCAACAAGGGAACCAAGAACATATATTGGGTAAAGGACAAACTCTTCAGTAAATGGTGCTGGGAAAACTGGATATGCATATGAGGAAGAATGAAACAAGACCCCTATTTCCCACTGTATACAAAAATCAAATAAAAATAGATTAGAGACTTAACTGTAAGACCTGAAACTATGCAGTCTCTAGAAGAAAACATTAGGAAAATGCTTTGGGACATTGCTCTGGGTAAAGATTTTCTGAGTAAGATCTCAAAAATCACAAGCAACAAAAGCAAAAATAGGCAAATGGGATTAGATCAAGCTCAACCCTTCTGAACAGCAAAGGAAACAATCAACAGAGTGAAGAGACAACCTACAGAATGAAAAAAAAAATTCGCAAACTATCCATCTGACAAGGGATTAATAACCAGAATGTATAAGGAATTCAAACAACTCCATAGCAAAGGTCAAATAATTTGGTATAAAGATACACAAATAATCTGAATAGACATTTAACAAAAGAAGACAGACAAATTGCCATCAAGTATATGAAAAAAAATGTTCAACAATCACTAGTCATTAGGGAAGTGCAAATAAAAATCCAAATGGGTTATCATCTCACCCCAGTTAAAATGACTATTATCAAAAAGACAAAAAATAGCAAATGGTGGTGAGGATGTGGAGAAAACAAAACACTAGTACACTGTTGGTGGTAATGTAAATTAGTACAGCCATTATAGA